CTTGGTCACTATTATATGCATAAGACAGTGTGTGTGTGTGTGTGTGTGTGTGTGTGTTGAGGCTGAAAACGTATTTATCATCTCAATGTGCAAATTTTTTCAGTGTTACGTAATAACTCAAGCTGAAGGAAGAACTTAGAAAGGAAAAGAAAAAAAAAGATGACTGATACAGGAAAAGCAGTTTCTGGAGACATTTTATTTTTGAGGTTTGATCCTAAGAGACYTTTTAATAATTCAAAAGATTCCTCTAATTTTGATCTATAATGTAACGTATGGCAAATATATTTTCAAATATGGCAATACTGTATATTTAGGAAGATTTCTCACAAAATTTAAAAGCAAGGCCTRGTGGGTCATTTTGATCAGATTTATGGTTAAAACAGGACAATGAAACTTTGAGTGGCGGCTTCAGATAACGCAAAATCTGTGACAACTGTTGAAAAATGTCTTATAAAAAGACCTGACTCAGCTGCTGAAAAGACTGTGCAGGTAACATGACACTGCCGGTCCCTCCGGTAACAGAGACAGTTACAACTGTCAGCGGCAAATTGCCTCTAATTACCAATTACATCAATGTGGGTCGGCCTGTTCATTTTAGATTCAGCTGCTGCTGGATTAGTGTTATAAAATGGGAAGGTAAAAAATAAGTTGTACTGCAAGTCACTGCAGTCAGTGGAAAGTCTGAGCTGAATCTTTGTATAATATTAAATGAAGCATTAAATGAAACGGGGAAATGATCATGATTAAAGACAATTTAAATGAGGGTAAATGTAAAAAAAAAAAAGAGCAGGAAACAGAAACAACAGAATGTGTTCATAACACAAAACAAGTATCTAAAATTGAGAACTATTTCACCACTCGGTGCATCATCTGGATGTGTGGGTTATAGTAAAAAAAAAAGTGAGATCTGGCTTTCGAATTAGGCCTGACATGTGGGAGGCTTCTCCAAACACAAGTTATAATGAATGTCTGCCCTTTCACACCTGCTCTGGCAAGATATGGAGGCTGTAACCTAAGCTGCTGAAAAGAATAAAAATCAGAAAGTGATATTATATATATATATATATATATATATATGTATATATATCTTAGCTTGGTAGCTTTAGCGCTAGCCCCGATGCTATCACCATATATATGTATTAGCTCAGCGCTACACAGTCTCCTCTCGTCACTGAGGTCCACTAGCGTGAAAGCTAACATGCTAAGCTGAGGTTCTTCTTCCATGAAGCAGCTCTGTTGTTCTCCATCCATATTTTCAGTTACAGGCTGAGTCGTTTCTACCTTCTCCTCTCTGTCAACTCTCTCTGATGTAATTTAAAAGAGTCGAATGTCAGATATTGTCCAAGATTAACCTTCAGGGTGGATATAGCTCGCTAGCAGCCTCGCACCGAGGACCTATCCACGTCATCATTTACCCAGAATGTTTTGTGTGTAAATAAAATGGCTCCGTCCGTGTTAAAATATATTTTTAAAAATTTATAAAACTAAACAGCTTACAATATTTTTATAGTCTTTAGTTTACAGTTAAAATAAATGTTTATCAAATAAAGTCTAATGTTACAACTAATCAGGGATCCCTTTAAGACTTCAACAGCTGGAAAAATGTGTAAAATCTTCCCCTGATGGCAGCCAATTACAAAACTGAGGACACTCTCACTACTTTATATAACATATTTAACAAAAACTAAGCTATGTCCCGTACACTTAGCTCCAGCAGATGATGACACATTATATTAAGTTGCAGTTAAATTGCATTTTTGCAGCACTGAAATTCGCACTTTAGAAATAAATAAATAAATAAAAAAAATGATTGTCTCTGCCTGTGAAATGTAGCCAGAGGCTTTGGTTTCCTCATGACACCATACACAAGCCTCGACAATCATGTTGCATAATCAATGAGATGAACACGGTTAGAAACATGCAGAGTTTACATCAAGTCGGCTAATTCACCAGAATCTACAAATGCATGGGAAAAGCAGAATCCCAGCACACGGAGTCATTGTGCAATACTGTGCTTCTAAACTACAGCACTGGTTCTAAATACCTGCTGAAAGAAGGTTTAATCACCTCAAAGCATTACAGGTAACATTTTCTRTTAAGTGCATCTCCTGATGAACAAATCAGTTTGCAAGGTTTTATTTTCCAGACTAACTGGTTCTTATTAAGTATTCTTGTTAGAGAAACCTTGGAAGCTGTGAAACGTTGCATAGATTTACTGTATCCTTAACTACTTTCTTCAGCATATATATCAGTTTATTTCAACTTTAACAATTTGGACTTAATTTTACTGACATAACGTCTTTAATGCATCCTGCTGGAATGTCTTCTTCCTTTATTTTCTATCAGTGAGTTATTCACCAACGTGTTCATAGCTCCTTCAGGATAACTATGCCGTGATGAGTGCTGCAGAAGTCTCAAAACATCTGGAAGAGTTTGACCTAGCTGCTGCAGCAGTGTCGGGAGCCAACCAAGTGCCACCTGGCCTTTTTAGGCAGCTGGCCAGCTCACCAAGCACCTGACGGGCTAACAAGAGGAGCTGACAGGTAACATCCATCATATGGATGGGAAATCTGCACATCAAATGCAGCCGAATCCTATTTACACTATAAAGTCTCGCATTTTCTGGGATTTTACGTGACAAAGAAAAAATGTTTACAACCTATATTGTTTAAAACATTTCTTTAAATTTCAAAAAACATTATTATTTCAAACAGCATGTGTCTTGTATATTTTCTGAGGAACTAAGGAAAAATGAAAGATTTTCTAGAATTTGGATTTACCAACATTAGTCTTTAGTATGAGTCACACTGTCATGTGATTTGTTGACCACCTTGTCCAATTTAATGTCATAACATTTGATAAACCTGCAATGGTTTTGGAAAAACAGTGAACTGCAGTCAGCATTTTACCACCTATCATCATACATGACTGGGTTTTGTTGCATTTAAACTTAACTATTTAAAAAAAAAGAAATACAAAACAAAAACAGAATAATTGTTATTAACACCAAGTAAGTTTTAGGAATGATTTTGCCCTCACTTTGTGGGTTAAGTTGTTTTCTTGGAAAAACCGTTTGTTTCAATTGAAAGATGCAGGAACTCATTATCGCTGCCAGCAGCATGATAATAAACTCTATTAGATCAGAAACATAAATTCTTCCTTTTGTTAATGACAGAGTGAAATTCCTGAGCTGCTAACATGAAAAGCCATCCCTTCCTTCTCATTCTAAAAAGTGTCGCACTGAAAACAAAAAAAAACATTCAAATGTGAGGTGGCTACAAACAATGTGTTCAATTAGGGGAAAACAAGCTGCAACAATGCTGCATTTTTAAAACCATCACAGAAAATACGACATTTTTAAGTGTGCACAATCAAATTAGCTTTAAAATTAATAAAAATACGCAAAAAATTATTTTGACATTTTTACTGAAATTCTGATCAGATAATATATTTTACTTTCGTTTGAGGTTCTCAAGCAACTTTAACTTCCATTTTGTGTAAATATAATAACTAAACCTCTCATTTGACCAAATATTTGATTTCAGTTACAGATTTAAAAAAATGACTCAAAAATGTAGCCGTAGAATAATAAGTGACCTCAGAGTGGAGAGTTTTAGTCAGGACTCTGGACTTACTAACAAGATGTGACAAGACAGAAGTTTCTGTTGCTTTTATAAAATATGTCACAATTATTTCTCTGTAGCGGCTGCAGTAATAAATGCTTTTTTGTTTGTTTGTTTGTTTGTTTCCAACTGACAACCACATATTACAAAACCTTCAATTTCACTGCAGTCACTTAAATTGTTTACATTCAAAAAGTAAGAACAAAATGTGTTAAACGCAGCATTAAAAAAATAAAAAAAATACATTTTTACCACACTGGGGGGTAAATCAAACTGCCTGGGTTGACTCAGACTGGATAAGTAAATCAATAAAGAGAAATGTCAAAACCTCTGAAGTTTGTCTGTCAAATCAATATTTAGTTTAACAGTTAGACTTTAAAATGTTGTTGCTATTGTTGTTTCTTTCGGCTGCTCCCCTCTGCAGGGATCACCACAGTGAGCAAACTCACAATAGATTTGGTGTTTGTTCTACGCCGGATACCGTTTCTGATGCAAGCTGGACTCGAACTCGCAGCCTCAGGATTATATGACCGCAGCACTGAATGTCGAGCTACAGCAGCTCTGTACTCTAAAATAAAGAGTAAAATGATCTATTTACACAGACTTTAAAGACTTTATCATTATCCAGTCTTGATTAAAAAAATAAAGAAAAGCTATAGAAGCTGACCTGGCATTTAAAGAAGAAATATCAAACAGTTGATTCGCTAAATGTTTTACGTGTGAAGAATAGAAGCGATGATTCCGACAGCCACCTTTCGTGTTCTACAATCAAGATCAAGCAGTGACATTTTCTACATTAAATTTGCAGCTTGACCTAATAGCAGCTAGAAAATGCTGCTGGTTCAGACAGAAATGTAGTCTAAAATATCAGTATTTATTCCTGTGCAGCTGCAGTGACCGTGGTTATCTCACTCAAATTGAACCTTTAGGCATCTGATCTCGTACATAAAGTTTGACAACAGCAGGAAAAACTCATACTTAAAGCTAAAAACTATTTTAATGATCTCAACTGAGCCAAAGTGAAGCCAAAAGCAGTTTGGCTTGAATATTATATGAGAACCACAGTCTATACATGAGATGTGTTTGTAAATTAAAACATTTATAATACGATAAAAAATGTTGGACATAGTTTTTTTTATGTTTAAATGTCAGTGATGTATTTTGGTCAGGATACTTTCGTACTTCTGTTATCTTTGCTGCTCTGCCTTTAGAGCTCTACACTTAGAAGTAGATTTTTCTGAGATGCAATGAAAATCTTAATTTACTTTTCACTGTTTTTCCCCCCTTTAAGATCAGTCGTAGATAGAAAATACTTTCAACTTCTAACTCTTCTGACTGAGAAAGTCTCTTGGAGCAGAAACYAAATGTTTCATTAAAGTATAACCCGTCCAGAGGACCTCCTTAACCTTTTTTTTTCTATCTGGATTACTGAGATGCATCAGGACATACTTTCAATAGCTGTGTCTCAATTCAGGGGTTGCAGCCCAGATGGACTGTGATCCACATAAGCCAATAGGCCACATCACATTGCAGCATCAATTTCATCAACATCTGCTATAATTTTCTTTTTATTTAAAAAAAAATCTGCCACCTTCATTTTTCTGTTTAGTTTATTATGGCACAATGACTCCTGAAACGCTGTTGGCCGCATAGGATGATCAGATGCAGCTTATGTTTTCGGGGCCGCATGAGTAGGCGCCTAAGAATGGGGACAGCCTTTGGTGCGGTGATGTAAGCGGCCGACAAATGTGCCTAAGGTGGGCTGCAGCCCTTAAACTGAGACACAGCCAAGCACTCTTAAAGGATGTTATTAGCCCCTTATAGGATTACATAACATGTAATTTCTGTTTTCTATAGTTCACTCAGCAAACAGAAACTCAAGCTGCACATAAGGGGTTTTTTTTTCTCAAAATACACAAATCTTCTCTTTCAATAGATCAAACATTAAGAGTAGGGGTAAAAGGTATGTGAAGATTTGTCGAAGTGTTTGAATTGTTATATTCCACCCTCTCCGTCTGTTTGCTTATTGGCTATCTTAGGTGATYTCACTATAGAGAAAAGCACTTCTCATATGATTTCCACTGCCTTATGCATCGCAAAGAAAACCATACTCTTAAATTGGAAAAA